TGTTAGCATCAAAAACTATTCAGCTAAAGTGCAATTATGTTTGTGTTTGGGTCTGTTTGTCTGTGTCCCATTATTGAAGTATCATCAGATTGTAATAAAACTCTCAGATAATATTCACTGGATGTACATCCACAACTGGTTAACTTTTGGAGTCAGCCCAATTTAACATGGCCATTCCAGTTAATTCACCGTTTAGAATTCCCTATTGCTGTCAGTTTTAAACACATTGAGCTATGTTTTGTGTGGTAGTTGTTGAGAGTCCTCCTTCACTACATACTTTAACCTCTGACACAGTGGTGTCAAACTTATTTTCTCTGAGGGCCACATCACCGTGATGGTGGCCCTCAAAGGATCTGTTTTGATCAACTTCAGCATTTCATGTTTAACTTTGACTAAACACAAAACCTCACATTTCTGAGCACTGCTAACAAACACCAACAGAGATCTATATGCATGGCATTTCCTGCATAGAAAGTGTCTTAACACATCCTCTTATAAACTCTGAAAAGTCTGTGTACAACTGACTAACTTTGTAATAAATAATGCAGAAATACTATTAAAAGTTAAAGTTTTACTTATTGCTGGTTGTGGTGAGTAGCTACCATCTTGAATTTTGAACTATCCCACTTTCTGACAGGATATTCCCCTTGGAGGGGGAGTTCCAGTTTAAAGTCATGACTAAGTAGGAAATTCTCACTTCCCAGTACTGGRCCACAGCAAAACTATAAGTGGAATGGAAATTTACATGGTGAATTTTACAGACTGCTGGCTACTTTTGAACCATGTGCAGCTCCACCTAGTGGTGGGATGCTGTTATGTTATGGGTAAAATAATCAACATGCATTATGGGAGATGCAGTTTATTGTCAGTGGTGGCTTTAAAGCATCATGTGCTTCTTTTAGGGCGTCAATACATCTTTGAAGCTCTTGTAGTGTCCCATAAAATGCAGTGGTGCACCACATTTAGCCCACAGGCCTTGAGTTTGACATGTGTTCTGGTATATACAGTATCAGACATAACATCAAGTATAAGCTTTGACCAAAACAGCTAGAACTCCATCACCTCTCATTTTAAAGTGGGATGTAATGATAATATGTATTTCTTCAAGGTATCCATAGACTTCAACATATGCAGATATTTAAACAGCAATGTAATAATAGGGTTACACCAAAAGGTGAGACTTATCTGGGTTCTTTGTTGTTGTTTTCCATAAAACGTTATAAAAGAAACTAGCAATTTAATCAACAGTAGGTCTTAATCATTATGTATATCTAACATATAAAACAAACACAAAGAATGAAAAAAAAGTGTTACAGCAGCGCTAATGACTCTATCACAGCATGTGTTTCAGGGTGAATTTGCTCCAAGATTGGACTGGCGTTAGGCATTATTTACTGGTTGGAGAAAACAGCAGGACAATAAATTATTTCACAAGCTTGTCAGCCAGTTGAACCCTGTGCAGATCTTTTCTTTGGGCCAAAACACTGTGCTTCACAAACAGCCATGATGAAAAGAGATCCAAAATAGAAATGTCCAGAGCCGTGAAACGCTTCCACTCATTTCGAAACAGAAATTAATGATTCAAACATTAAAAAAGAGCTGAAATCGACAGCATGTTTACATCAAGATAATGTTTTTTTCAGGCCCACAAACAAGGATCGTATATGATAAGTGCACATAAAGTTAGAAAAATAGGTCAAATGCTTTATGATTTATTTTCTTCTTTCCTCTTTTCCTGCCTCAAGCAAACAATAAAGGGCTACAAACAGAAAGTTGCTACCTGGTCATCTGCAGTATGCAGCAGCTAAGCTCTTGGAGGTGAGCCAGTCTCACATATAGCACTAAATGCCTCAGGGGGAGTCGCTGAATATTCCCCAGAAAAGATCATCTGATCAAAGGGCTCATATCATTCCTGTGGAATATGAGCAGAGTCAGCTCAAAGGCAGCAGGTCACCAAACAGCCACACAGTGTCTACATGTAGAACACTGTGTCTACTTGGTGTCCTTGATTTTATAATGAGACAGTTTGGTTATATAAATATATTCATAGCTGGTGGGTGGACCTCATTATTGACATTGCAGGCAATGCAAATGACTGTAGTTCCAGCATCCGGCTATCAGGGACAAATATGGAATGTTAATACAGATTAGACAAAAAAAAAAAGAGACAAGAGGCTCCTCGAACTGTTAAAGGAGGAGATGTTAACTGAGGTAAAGCTTTTACAACACATGCTATCTCCCTACTTTAGCTTTCAAAATTGACAAAATATGGGCGTTTGAAGGACTTTTCAGTTTTAAGCAGTAAGGCAGTCATATAAGGAGTATTTTACCTGCTTCGCTCTGCTCCTACCTAACCACTAAAAAGGCACAACAACACTAAATTACAGAAAAAGTGTACAGAAAGTCTCATCAAATCTATTGATATTTTAAACCAAAAAAATCAAAGAATGTAGGAAACATTTTTCTCATGGATTGTAGCTTTTGTAGTGATTTTTATAAGCTTTTCTTTAGCTTTTGAAATGTATGTATTGCTTTGGTTTTATCTTCAGGTAAACCACTGTCTTGTGTTCGTTAGCCAAGCTACTTGAGATCTGAATTTTACTGAAGATACAACTAAACTCAACGTTTAAATCCCATCTCAGCAGTTTTTATATGAGAAGTGGAAACAGATTTCTTAATTAGGAGAAAAACATACAACTAAGGTAAAAGGTTTTTTTTTTTTTTTTTTTTTTTTTTTTTTTTTTTTT